CTTTTGCCTTCGGTGCTGGAATTACAGCCACACATCACCACTCCCAGGTTAAATGAACTTTCCTCTCTGTTTCTTATTATTACATTACTTATTTAGTTCATGTGTGTGCGCGTGTGAGCATTACAGCATGTGCACACACATTCAGGTCATAGGACAACTTGCAGTTGTAAAGTCTTGCTTCCTACCACGTGTGTTCCAGGAACTGAACTCAAGTTTGGCAGTAGATGTCTTTATCTGCTGGGCCATCTCATTGGCCTATTTGTCTTTTGAGACAAGATCATATAGATCTATTAGTTCCTGAGTACTGAGGTTACAGGGAGAGTAAAGCACGCCTGACTAGGACTCATATATAAAGTTCTAATGCAGGTAAATTAACCTACGGTGTAAGAAGCCACAACAGTAGTTATCTTAAGAGAAGGGTGTTGGAAGGCAAGGGGCATCTGAGTTACTGGTGATGCCATCTTGGTCTGTGTGCTGGTAAACAGGCAGCTTGTGCTGGTGGTGTCAATAGTTACTTTGGTACTTAGCGCAACATATTCTTTTCTTAAAATCACTTTTATCTAGTTAGTTATGGCAGGGGGAAGAGGGAAAGGCACGTGACCCGGTATGCATATGGAGGGCAGAGGACAACCCGCAGGAATGGTTAAACTCTTCCATCATGTGGGTCTCAGGGACCAAACTGAGGTCACTGGTCTCATCACCGAGACCCTTAACCGCTGCCATCTTGCCAGCCCTCAATGTGTGTTATTCTTCAACAGCAAGTCTGAACAGAAACCTCACTCATCTTGGCAGGGGAGGCTTTTTCCTGCTCCTATCCCAACCATCCTCCAAATGTTCCAAAAAAAACTTTAGCTTCTGGCCCTAGCTACTCGGTGTCCATTCTAAGATGCCTTCCTGATGCAGTATGGGAGGTGAGAACACCCTCCTGGGTAACCTAGGAACAGAGTGCTGGGAGAGGAGGTGACTAGAGGTTTGAGACCTGCTCCCCTGACACAATGGATGGTTGATCCCGGGCAGAGTCTTCAGCAACAAGCCCTCCCCTCTACCGAGCGAGGAAGGCAGCTGGCTGGGCTCCAAACCCCAGGTCCCTACCATTCATTCCTCTGAGGCAGATTTATGGGGCTATGGAATCCCCTTGGGCTATGGAGGCAGCCAATCAGAGTTTATATCCCGGACTTACTGCTGACCGCCTCAGTTAGTCCATTTTATGTCTAAGGGGAAGGTACCAACACCTGCTTTGTTGGCAGCCGTAGCACTGAAATACAGTTTACCCCAGCCTGGAAGCTTTCAAAGACAGGGGCTCCGTTTCACTCACTGCTTTAGGTACGGTTCTAGAACAGACCCTGAAACTCACAGCTACCATTTACATGTTTACTGAGGGAATGAAGCAACTCTAAAGGGTGGCTTTTATACCAAAAGCTGAGCTAAACACGGTCATCTGGAAACCAAGTCAGGCTCAGTCAAGCTCACTAGTGAACCTTGAAGCCTCCTATGATTTTAGCTTTCAATCTTACCCAAAGGCTTCCTAAGCGCTGGAGACAGCTGAGGGGGTTGGGTCACAATGAAGTCCTGAGTGCCTGTGACCCATGTCATCAAACTGTTTCTCTCAATTGCTCGGATATCAAGGATGGATAAGGTGGCTGTGGTCCATTACTTCTGACCACTGCACTCATACCCTACAAATTCCCACCTCTCACCTCTGTCTCTGCTCTCAGATCACACGTGAAGGACGAGGGATCCCCCATCGGGAGGGTCTAGAATAGGAACAGGTCTGTTCCCTTCCTTCCAGACTAACTTCTCTGCTAAAGCTCCTAATACTAGGACTCTTAGAGATGGTTTTCCTGTGGAAAATCCTACAATAAAAATATCTGACTAACTGAGCATGGTAGTGCACACCTTTAACCTTAGCAGGTGGATCTCTGCGAGTTCAAGGGCAGCTTGATCTAAATAGTGAATTCTAGGGCAGCCAGGGTTACACAGTGAGAAAGTCTCCAACCAACCAACCAACCAACCAACCAAGACTAAGTGCCCACAGGAGTAGGGATTGTGACTGGTGGCTGTGAGAGTCAAAACCCAGAATTCTGATCCTTTCTTCCATACGTTCATTCAAATCCTAGCTGGGCTCTGCAACGATGACTGTGATAAAACCACAGCCACTGGAGTTTCTTTTGTAAAATGGGTTGACCAGCTGGGTATGAGAGGCAGAGGCAGGCAGACTTCTTGTGAGTTTAAGGCCAGCCTGATAGTTCCAGGCTAGCCAGGGTCACAGGATGAGACCCAATCTCACAAAGGAGCCTTGCTTTTTTCCAATGGGCTTACAGGGCCTTGGGCAGGCCAGGGGAAGTAAAAGTTCTGTTCTGTCTGGGTGCCTTGAAGATGCTTATGAGCTGCTGAGCAAATTAAAACCAGGAAGCTGAGCCTCTGCTTCTCCATGTCGAAAACTTTGGGCAGGGTGTTGCTATCGGGTTTCTTATGTTCCAACTCTAGATTAAAACCCCAAAGTGTTTAACATCCACCTTACCTGCTTCAAGGGAATGCTAGGAGGGCAGAGCAAGCTCAGAGTTGTAGAAGGGCTTTGAAGAGGAAGGCACGCACACAAACAAAGCATTAATTATACCAGATCATGTCTTTGAGCTCAACATCACAGCCGCTTGTAATATTCATAACCAGAGGCAAGGAGGGAGGACTGTAACATGGAAAGTGCTGGTTGTTCGGGCGAACTTGAGGCTTTGTATGTACCCGCAAGATAACCCTTTCAACCTTGTCCCATCCAGGGCCTTGTTTCAAGAATGGGGAGCTAGGGTCGGAAGTAAGACATTTAGCAGCAACTGAGGAAATATACTGAGGAATGAGACCTGCATATTTCTGTTGTTGTCAGGGGAGTTTCATTTATTTAAAAAAATTAAAATTTAGTTTTACATTGCTAAGTATCAACCCAAGGCCTCATTTTGCCACTGAGCCATGTATTGTATTCTATTTATTTACTTATCTCTTTTTGGTTTTTCGAGACAGGGTTTCTCCTTGTCACAGCTCTGGCTGTCCTGGATAGTCTTCGTAGACCAGCCTCACCGATATCCGCCTGCCTCTGCCTCCCAGGTGCGAGGATTAAAGGCGTGTGCCACCACGACGGGTTAAGAGGCAGACTCCTGGGCTTTTACCTAAGTGACTTCCCCTTTCCAGGGAAAAATGCACCCAAGAGTAGAGTTTGCAGGGCCAACTCAGGCCCCGACAGGCACATTAGCCCACTCTTAGCTTTTTAAACCAGGTGTGTTCTTGGCACAAACCTACTATTCTCACAACCGTAAACCAGACATCCGAGAAGGCAGAATTTCCTCAGAAAGGTTAGAAATCCGTGACATCACCAGGGAAGCACTGGCCAACTCTACCATGTAATCAAAACCTCCAGCTGCACTTCCCCATACAGCCTCGAGCCAAGCGAAGTGACAGCTAATCTGAGATTGTTTGCTTCAGTAAGAAGATAAGACACTCACAGCTCAAAGCCATACCTGCTCTCAGAATACAGCAGAAAATGTGACAATGGGGGCGGGGGCGGGGAGGTGGGCTTGGCAGAGATCTGGTTAGCCAGAGAGCTTCCTTAGGGAGCCGGAATTGGATTTGGGGCCCTGCCCAGGTTAACATTTTTACAGGCTGGCTCAGTTGCAGTTAGCCAGCCAGTAATAAACCCATGTGCAAGAATTTAAAGTTTATGAGGCATGGCCTCTTAATGCCTGGGCTCAGGCTCCCTACAGCCTAGCCTTTAAGGAACCTGGCCCGGCCTGGGTGTTAATTGTTTTGTCAATCCGCTGAGTTAGTTCAGAAGAGTTTTGTTTGTTTGTTTTCTTAAGGCTTTCTACAGACTCGAGGGCCTCACTTCTCTTTTGCAGAGACAAAGGAGAGTCACTCTGCCTCAGCTTTGACACCCCCGTATCTAAGCTGTGGACATGTGTACTAGGGTGAGAAGTATTCGATGGAAGCCCTAGGAGGTGCTGGGTGGCGAATGTTTGAATGTTTTGAAAGTCGTCAAAACTACAGGTCCCCTCCCCAGAAAAATGCATGCAAAAGTTCTCTTGAACTCCACTCTATCCACTCCACTCTATTCCTGGTTTGAACAACTTGGGTTTAAGCTACAGAGAAAACCCCGTTGTCCTCTCCAGTCAAGAGCCCCCCACCAGCTGGCAGATGCCCCAGCACACTGGTTCTCAGCACCAAAATGACCCTCCACTTTCAAGTTTTTGAACTTGAGTGGGGAAAAATCGAAACAGAAAGATCAAAATGTGCTTTGATCGCTCATTCACTCGCCGGCTTGGGGCACAGATGTGTGCCGTCCCCCCCCCCCACCCGCCCTCGAGACTCAAGTGATCTAACATCCTAGTACCAAGATGCTTTAAGTGCGGGACCTAGGTGTCCCCCCCCCCACGAGCATAATGGCCTCCGCCCAGGTGTGCCAGGCCATTCGCAGGCAGGCAGCAGGGGCGCAGGCCCTCCGGGAAGGGCAGGGTTAAGAGTGCATTCCAGCTGCCCGGGAACAAGGGGGGCGGGGAGGGCAGCCCAGAGAAGAGAAACAGACCCGGTCTGTCTGTCGGGAGACACAAAAGCACGGTTCACAAAGGGGGCCCGAGAGGGGCGAAGGGGGCTGCCCGGGACGCGGTTCATCCCCACACCTGCGCGGGGGTTGCGGGAGGAATGTGCACCGCGCATTCCTCGGCTGTGGCCGGGCGGGAGAGTTTTCCACGTCGGGGCTGGGTGAGGGGCTCAGCCGCGAGGCACTGAGAGGTCAAGACAAGCAGCAGCTGCGGGGCCAAGGGGATGGTGGACGTCCGCGGGCGCACCGCTGCGCAACCCAGACCAGGAGCCGCTTTCCGAGCCTCCTCGGGAGGTGGGGCGGCTCCGGGCGTCCCCAGCTCCGGTCCGGACGCCCTCGGAAGGGCCGCGGTAAAGCGGACCACGTGTGGTCTTACACACCGTGATGCCCAGGCAGGCTGGCCCCGGGAGGGTCTTACCTTTCCCCAGCGCTTGGCTGGCCTCCAAGGCAGTTCCTCCCACCTCCAAGGTCACTTCAGCCTCCGGGTAGGGCTCGGAGGCCACGCTCGGTAGCCAGCAAACCTGCGTCCGAGGGCAGGAGGGGGAAGAGGGAAGCTGAGTCACAGGCGTGCCTGGTTCCGCACAGCCATCCTTGGGAGTCCTCAGTGGGCCCCCGGGACCACCTTCTCTCCAGGGAGCACAGCCCTAAGGTTCCCTCCGACGCCCGCCCTCCAGGGAGCAGTCCCGGTTAGGAGCACCGCAGTACCTGGAGCAGGAGGAGCACGGAGGCGAGAGGCCCGCCGAGGGGCCCCATGACCGCAGGGAGGTAGGTGGAGAGGCCGCCGCGACGGTGGGCACGCGCTCCGCGAGGCGCCCGGCGCAGCTCTGGGCACCGCGACTCGACCGAGCCCGCGGGAGGAGGCCAGGTGCGCTCAGGTAGCTGCTGATTGGCCCGACGTCACGAGGCCCCGCCCCCTCGCAGGTGGGGCCGAGGGCAGCCCGCTGGAAGGCGCTCGCTGGTCCTCCCGGGTGCCCTCCCGCGTCCTCTCTGCGCTTTTGGAACTACTCCTGAAGGATAATACCCCGTGGCCCTCGCAGGTCCTGGCTTGGATGGAAAAATAATGTAGCAAAACAAAACCGCCAATCCACTCCACCTCAGCCTCTGCAGCTCGGGAAGACAAATATTCCATTGCTGGCAGCTACAACGGAAAGAAAAAAAAAAGTGGAGACGCATCTGAAACCCGACAGAAAACAGAGGCTCCCCATTCATGCTGCCAGAGGCGCTGTGTTCAAAGCTGTGATGGAGGCAGGGCGTGTCTTCACACCATCTACAGCCGGGCCTGCCCTCTTCGCCTCTCTCCACCTCCCACGGGAGCTCGCTGGGAGAGCTGGGGTTTTGAAACTGGCATTGTGGTCTCAAAGGACCGCGGCACATACGATCTGATAGACCTTTGAGAGAACAGTTACTTCCGTCTGCAGCTGCACAAATGGAAGGAAGCCTGTAGAGAAAGCCCCAGAGTTTGGAAGCCATAGTAACTTCAGAGAGCTTGAGGTAGGGAACTGATTATTAGTTATTAGGCCCTTTATTTCCCAGAATCCCCCGATATAAATGCGTTCTTCCCCCAAATATCAGTTAAATGTAAACAACAGGAGATTTTAATCTTATTACGTGTGTATGTGTGTATGGGCCCATGGCACACGTGTGCAGGTCAAGTTTGTGAGGTTGTTTCTCTTGTTCCAATTTTAAGTGCGTTCTGGGGGTTGAGTTCGGGTCGTCAGGGTCGTGCTTAACCTGCTAACCCACCACTTTTGCTCCTCAATTTTTTTTTTTTTTTTTTTTTTTGAGGCAGGGTCCCACACTGTCGTCTCAGGCTGGCCTTGAATTCATCACAAACCCTCTGTCTCAGTCTCCTAACTGCTGGGATTAAAGGCATGACCCACCATGACCAGCTTAATACAAAATGACTAGCTTTTTTATTTTATTTTTATTATTTAAATCTAACGTATATCTTAGGCTGGCTCTAAACTCAACATACAGCTGGGGATGGCCTTGAATTTCTGAATCTCCTGCCTCAGCCTTTCCTAGTACCAAGATTACAGGCTTGTATCTCCATCCTGCTTTAGATGGTTAATGGGAGTTGAACTCTTGGCTTCGTGCATGCTAGCGGGTCTATCAACTGAGCTACAGCCCCGGTCCCAAATTTTATTGTCCTGAGATACTGTACATAATCTAAAAACTACCTGCTGTGTAATGCTTATCCCTCGGAAGATGGCTCTCCTGGTGGACCGGTGCTTGTCCCCCTGTGTTGCTCTTTCAACTGTATTGGACAAGATGGCTGTCCTCCCTGAGGCACACAGGGTCACACAGGTCCCTGGCAGGCCTAGGCTCTAACTGCCCTACTCCACATGCCTTTCCTGCCTTTCCTCTATATAGGCAGCTCCCCCCACCCCTGCCCTGCCTCTCTCTGCACATGCCAGGCAAGGGCTCTACCACAGAGCTGCAGCCTCAGCCCCGGATGTCCTTATTCTCTGAGCTCTCCCCATCTTCCATTGCTCCCCAGAGAACCCCAGGATGATGCCTCTTCTTTCCCCTGTTGTCTCCTCCATCTAGCTCAGCTTGCAAGGTTTATTTATAGGTTTTGTTGTCCGTCAAGTATTAACCTGAACCTACCTGTCCTTTGTACAGCACGTCTCTGGCTGAGCAGTGGAACTTGTGATGTAATCAGGCCATCACTGGCTCTACTCATTCTACTAGATGGGCCCTAGACTTGGGTACCCTAACTGGGACAGAACCCTTACCTGTCCATCTGTCACTGCCACTATTTTGACCCCTACCCTCTACGGTACTGTACTAGATCCAGGAGTTGGGGGGGTGCTTTTAATCCCAACAAAGGTTGTAGAGGCAAGATGATTACTGCAAGTTCAGGTACAGCCTGCACCACATAGTGAGCCTTTGTTTCAAAACAGGTGGGTAGAATAGAGGAAATGGCTCAGTGGCTAATGTGCTTTGGTAAAAGTCTCATGTTCAAATCCTCAGGACCCATGTAATGTGGAAAGCAGTGGCCCATCTGTAAAGGGTCTCCTATGGAGAGGTGGGAGGACAGGAGACTGTAAGGAACCTATCAGGCTAACTAGCTTATACAGTGTCAAAACAAAGACCCAGTCTCAGAGATTGTCCTCTGGCCATGCATGTGGCCTTTACTCATACATGGACATGCAACTCTCTCTCTCACACACACACACACACACACATACACACTGTACTCGGCTGTGTTACAATTAAATGAATATGTGTACTTGAGGATTAAACAGATCAAGTATTAAAAACGCTGAACTCAGGAGCTGGCACGGAGCAGGGGCCCAGCGTCGTCCGTATTAGGGCTCCCTTGGATGCAGCTCATTTGCTTTCTCTGCCTCGCCAACCGGAGAACTGGCTAGCACTCTCGGTTCCACAACTAAAAGAATGAGCAGTGTTGGAATCCTTCAATTTCACGGCTGCGGGTAGCCGGCATCTGCCGTCTCTCAAGTCTTCAGCGATCCGCGCGATCCCAGCAGCTGTGGTGGGAGGTGGCAGGGAAAGCCCAAGGCAGCTAGTGGTCCAGCACTCCTTCCGGGGAAGCTTGCCATGTCCTAGGTGCTCAAGGCCTCTGGCCCAGAGGGGACAGGGTGGCCCCCCGAAGTCGCTCCATCGCCGGCCCGGAGCCAGCCGAAGCCATTAGGCGGACAGTTAAACACAAACGAGCCCCGGGATACAGGCCCTAATTAAGTAAACACTCGGCTGGAGGGCTGTGGAGCGCGCTCATTTCCGCCGCCTTCCCCGGCACTCAGCATTCCGGCGGGGGGCCGCGAGCGGAGCGGAGCGGAGCGGAGCAAACGGTGCTCAGCTCTTCCGCGAGCCTGCACCACGACGACGCGGCTTTCTGCGCAGCCTCCGCAGCTCGTCATTCATCAATTCCTTCGTTTGACTGAAGGAATCTCAGGCTTGAGTTTCAGATTACATTTCCCGACAGTCTGATCAAAGAGTTCAAGGTCAGCATGGGCTGTAGAGCGAGCAAGCTCCGGTCCCCCGAAAAGCAAAACAAAGCGGATGCCCGGAATTTGCTTCCTCCACCCGCAGCCACTGAGTACCTGGTGACAGCCCAGCATCCTTCTTCCAGATGACAAACTGCACCCTAGAGCTCTCGCGTGGATCGGGCCGATGCTGCCCTCACTGGGACTGGGTCTGGGTTCACACCACCCTCTGGCCCTTCCTCATCCTGCTTCTCCCATTTGGTCACCAGGGGGAATCCCATCTTGGGCAAAACAAGCTTGGACCGGAGAAAGACAGAGAGCTTTGGTTTGGGAACGTTTCAGAGGCCCGACGTGCTGTGACCGGGGAGGCTGCAGTTGTACGCTCCAGTTCAGAGGAAGTGTGTAACGGTTGGGCGATGCTCTCTGTCTCCGGAGCCGGGCACCTTGCAAGTGGAAGGCTTGCTGAGGTCGGACCCTGGGCCTCTGCAGCCTTCACATCTCTGTTAGTTTTCTGTCACCATAAGAAAATACCTAAGACTTAGAGAAAGGTTTGTTTGAGGCTCTCAGTTTGGGAGGTTCCAGTCCACAGCTGAGAGACCCCAGAGTTTCGGTCCTGTGACATGACATAGCTTATCTTGGCAGGGGTTAAAGGTAATGCAAACCCCGCTTCCTGCCTGGCAAGGAAACGAAGAATGGGAGAGGAGGGGGCCTCGGGCTTCAGAACCTGTCTCTAATGGGATGGGGAGACATTGTTCTTCCGTAGGGTAGCCACCGGGAGGTTTCTGCAAATAAGCTGCCGCTCAAGTTAGTGCAAACACCACCGCCTGCACTCAGGCACACTGAAGACCGTGCGGACTAGGCCGGAAGAAGGGAGTGGGTGGGAGGAAGCGGAAGTCTAGAGAAGGTAATGGGTGGGGGTGGGGTAAACGTAATCAAAACACACTGCATAGTTGCCTAAGATCATCCGAAGGGAAAAAAAAATTAGGAAACAAAGGTCAAGGGGGCGGGGAGATGACTCAGCAGTTAAGGGCACTGTTGCCCTTGCAGAGGACCCAGGTTCCGTTCTGAGCACCCCCATGGTGGCTCACAACCACCTGTAACTCCAGTTCCGGGGGATTCAGTGCCCTCTTCTAGCCCCCTCAGGCACCGGGAACGCGAGTGGTGGACATGCACACGTGCAGACAAACATGCGAATTAAAATAAAAATTTAAATGTAAAAACCAGAATTCATTGGGGGCTGGAGAGATGGATCAGGGTTGAGGGGCACACGCTGATTTTGTGCAGAGATTTCTAACTGGGTTTGCTCCCAGCACCCACGTGGCTGCTTACAGTGCTTACTCGCGATCCAGGGAAGTTGAAGCTCACGCTGGCTTCTCCGAGAACCAGGCATGAATGAAATGGGCATGCAGACAAAATGCTCCTACACAGAAAACGAATCTAAACAGCTTTCAAAGTTGTAGTATTAGCAAATCAAATATTAACTAGCAAAATGTGGAACTGTTGTTTTTAAAGAAGGAAAATCCCAACCGTTCCTATTTTGCCAATAAAGACTCAGGAGCCAGATGCTGGGGTGAAAACCTGCTAGCTCAGAGAGGCAGAGAAGGTACCCAGGGGCCCTTCCTTCTCAGCTCAGGACTGGATGGAAAGAAAACCCAAAAGGCTCACCAACCCAGCTGACAGCCCAGAAGGAAAAAGCCAAAAAACCGAAGACTTGAGCAATAAGCCCCCCAAAACAAGCTCAAAAAGGCCCTTTTTCTTCTCTCTGTCTTAAATACCCCTCAACTCAGTCTCACCTACTCTTTAATCCCTGTCAGCGGGTTTCTTGCTCCGCCTCTTGATCTAGGATTAG